CATGCATGCATGCATGGACATGCATGGTCGTGCGCATGCGCAGCAGAGGGGCATCCCATCACCAGCAACGCAGCAAGAGCTAAGATCTCTTTCTTTCATAAGCTTCTGTTTCGTCGTTTGCAGGAAAACAGAAGCTCACGAAAGATACGCCACGGAGATCTGACTTGGGGCAATGGCGTGCATGCCAGCGGAGAGGGCCCTGCGTGGCACCTCTGGCACCCATGCCATAAGTTTGCCATCACGGCCTTATACCATTTCAGACAAATGGCTCTCCAACATCTTCTTAAAGACTTCCAGTGTTGGGGCATTCACAACCTCTGGAGGCAAGTTGTTCCACTGATGAATTGTTCTAACTGTCAGGAAGTTTCTCCTCGGTTCTAAGTTGCTTCTCTCCTTGATTAGTTTCCACCCATTGCTTCTTGTCCTACCCTCAGGTGCTTTGGAGACTAAGTTGGCCCTCTCTTCTAGAAGAGCTTGACTCCCTCTTCTTTGTGGCAGCCCCTGAGATATTGGAAGACTGCTATCATGTCACACCTAGTCCTTCTTTTTCATTAAACTAGACATACCCAGTTCCTGCAACTGTTCCTCGTATGTTTTAGTTTCCTGCCTGAGCAGGGAGTTAGATTAGAAGATCTCCAAGGTCCCTTCCAACCTTGTTATTCTGTTTTTCTTTTATTCATACGTTGTGATTTTTTTTTCCAGAAATCAGCAGTCAAAATGTGAACCCATTAACTCTTTCTGAAGACGCATTAGTGTTCCTTTCCTCGCTGCAGAAGATGCAAAACGAAGGTGAAAGTTTTAAAAGTTCCTGTAAATGCAACTAAGGGTGGCTTCATTTTAATTTTTGACAAGCGTTTATTAAGCCCATTGGTCTTCTGCTTGGTTACTACGATCATTTGAATTTTAATACGGGTGACGGAAATATCTGTAACTATCCAGTAAAACTATCATTACATTAAAACGCCTTTAAGTTATGGAATTAACAGAATAACGGAGTTGGAAGGGACCTTAGAGATCTTCTAGATCAGGGGTGTCAAACTGGATTTCTTTGAGGGCCTTAGTTCTCCTCTGTAGGCTGACTAGTGGGGACCGGGAACGGATGCCTCCTGTAGCACAGATCCAGCCCAAGGGGGTGCTTAGATGTGGCCCCTGGCGCCCCTGACATGAGTGATGTCAAGCTGGCCACGGAAAGGAAAGCCTCCGGAAGGGCAAAAATACCCTCTCCCCACTGTGGTACAGATGGCTGACTAGGCCCCGCCCGCCATGGCCATGCCCACCCAGCAACTGGGCAGAGAACCCGTTGCTGAAATTTCTGAAGCCCACCCCTGGGCGAACTGGTGGTAAATGTCTGTGAAACCCACCTCTTATGCAATCCATCTTGTATTTGTGAGTGTGCTCCTCATAATCCCTGTTTCTGTTTGCTTTAGAAAATGAAGAAAAGGCTCCGGAAAGACCCGGATATTTTGCTGATGGTCTATTACATTGGTGAAAGATTTTTCAACCTTAAATGGGAATGTGGGGTGAATTTAAAAGGAAAATGTATTCTGTACGAGACCATTTTTCCCCCCATTCATCATCTCAACTTCCTTCTCTAAAATACCTGAATTGGTCACTGGTCAATATCTTCTCAATGTCAATCATTCTGCAGCATCAATACCAAACAATTAAAAGCATTCTTTTTCCTGCTTAGAAGTATGTTGATGTGCTGTTATTATTATGTTCAACCTGCTTATCTTACTTTCTGAAAGACTTGGAATGACGTGTCCTTTCTAACATCCCAAATATGAACTTTCAGACTTTGCTTATGTACAACTAAAACATACTAACAGCATCGGTGACTCTAACTTACTGTGGTTTTCTTTGCTTAAAATGGAGAAATTCAGCAGGTTCTGATAGGTTCTGGAGAACCAGTAGTGGAAATTTTGACTAGTTTGGAGAACCGGCAAATACCACCTCTGGCTGGCCCCAGAGTGGGGAGGGAATGGGGATTTTGCAATATCCTTCCCCTAGGAGTAGGGAGGGAATGAGGATTTTGCAATATCCTTCCCTTAGGAGTGGAGAGGGAGTGGGGATTTTGCAGTATCTTTCCCCTAGGAGTGGGGAGGGAGTGGGGATTTTGCAATATCCTTTCCCCTGGAGTGGGGAGGGAATGAACGTTTTACAATATCCTTCCCCTAGGAGTGGGGAGGGAATGGGGATTTTGCAATATCCTTCCCCTAGGAGTGGGGATTTTGCAATATCCTTCCCCTAGGAGTTGGAGGGAATGAGGATTTTGCAATATCCTTCCCCTAGAAGTGGGGAGGGCATGGACATTTTGCAATATCCTTCCACTAGGAGTGGGGAGGGAATGAACATTTTGCAATATCCTTCCCCTAGGAGTGGGGAGGGAATNGAACTGCTTAGAAAGTTACCAACCGGTTCTCCCGAATAGGTGCGAACCGGATGAATCCCACCACTGATGTGTGAGCAAATTGCCTGTGCTGAAGGCTGGGTGCATGCACAGAAGGGTGGCGAACTGGTGATAACAAAATGTGAAACCCACTGCTGATAAGGAGGCAATATTAGGAAGAAATGTAGGCAGGATTCTCCCTGAGATCACTGGGATATAACAGGCAGAGGTCAAAAAGCCCAATCAGACTTGCCAAAAATGTTTACCGTATTTTTCGGAATATAAGACGCACCTTTTTCCCTCAAAAAAGAAGGTGAAAGTCTGGGTGGGTCTTATACACCGAATACAGCATTTTTAGCCTCCCGAAATCCTGCCCCATTTGCAAAAATGGCCATGCATAGCCTTTAGGAGGCTTCCAGAGTGCTCCTGGGGGCTAGGGAGGGCTAGAATGAGTGGAAAATGGGCTGTTTTTTGCTCATTTTTGCCAGCCCCCAGGGGCACTCTATAAGCCTCCTAAAGGCTATTCATGCCCCCTTTTTTTTAACAAAAAAAACGGGCCCATTTTCGTGAAAAAACAGGCCGTTTTTGGGAGATCTGCAGAGTGCAAAAACTTTTTTAAAAAATTTGCCTCTTCAAAATCTTGGTGCGTCTTATACTCCGGTGCGTCTTATACTCCGAAAAGTACGGTAGTTCTCGTCTTCTATCTAGCTTATGAAAGCTACTTCCATATCTGGACAATCTTAAAAGACTGAGTAAGACTTTTCAGGCCCAGAAAGTCTTTACTGAGGAGATAGATGTAGCTCATAGGAGCAAAGCAGACATCATAAAATGCATTATGGATGCTGACACGCTAAGCGCTTGTTTTAATGCTCAGTAAAGGAGAGCTCAATATAATGTTTTCTTGGTTGTTTTTAGCAACTTCACAGGTGGACAAATGGCCCTTTGGCCCTCTACCTTTTGGCATCGTTCATCACTTTTTCCTGGGGTGTTCCTCAGGTAAGGAAAAATCTCTGTCTGTTATTGAGTCACCTGTTTGTAAACTCTTTAAGTTTATGCAATACGTTCGGCCAGCTTAACAGAACATAAATGGATGTTTATAGAACAATGAAATGATGCCCTAACATTACGGCCAAGTTCAAATACCATTGGCTAATATACTGGATTGTAAACTAAAGTCAAAATTTCCTTCTAGTCAAATCCAACTGCAGGTAAATGCATGAATATTGGTAACCATACGGAAGTGGTTTGCCATTGTCTTCTTCCAGGAAGTTTTAGTTATTTACTAGCCCATAACCTGGCGTTGCCCAGGTATTTATTTATATGGGGGAAATGTCAATGTCCGGATCTAATGTAATTTCTAATGTTGGATTTTCCCCCTTACCAGAGGGAGTCCCCTTGTGGAGTACTGTAAAGCCGTTACCATGGCAACTCCACTGTGCTGCACAGTAGAAGCCATTTTATGGCAGTATAGCAGAAGCCATTTTAAGGCACAACAGGCTGTACCTTAACAGAACACCCTCTCCCCGGAGGGGGGGTCTTACGCGCACAGTATTTTTTTTCAGAGAGTAAGTTATCTGTGTACCAAATTTGGTTGAAATTGCTCGAGTGTTCCAGAGTTATGCTGGAACATACATGCATACACACACACACACACACACACGTCTGTGTGTGTGTGTGTGTGTGTGTGTGTGTATGTAATTTTTTATGTCATCCATTTCCCCTGTAAGGTGACGCTGGATGTCTGAGCTCCAATTCACCCCATTTCAGCCTAATTTCAGGAATCGAGTTGATGGGAGTATAAATTACATGTAATAATAATATTTTTAAAGAATACCATCTATTTGCAAATTCCTCAGTAACGTGGGGAGAAAATAGGCAGTTCTTTGGTCCACAATGAAGTCGTTATCTAAAAACAAGAAAGTTGTTTATTTAAGGTGAAAGTAATCCAGTTGCTGAAATTTGTGTAATATTATCCCTTGCCCTTTTAATAAATCTTGTTAAAGAAAACACTGGCACTCTTTTCAGCTTCCAAGTTAGCTACCAAGCCTGACAATATTCAGGTGTAAGTTCTGTTCCCATACCAGAAGGCTTCTAAAATTTGTTCGGTAAACAGCAAACATCAGGTCTGCATTCTCTCATCACAAAATTATTTTTTTGACAGAAGAAAGGGTGGAGGGAGAGGGAGATGGAGAGGAAGAAAGGGACAGGGAGAGGAAAAATGGGGCTGTCCTTGAAGAGTGTTCGGAGACTACAGTTGGTCCAGAATGTAGCCGCACGAGCGATATCGGGTGTACCTCGGTACACCCATGTACACCTATCCTCTGCGAGCTGCACTGGCTCCCCATTGGTCTCCGGACGCGCTACAAAGTGCTGGTGATTGCCTTGAAAGCCCTATATGGCATTGGACCTG